AGCTTAGAGTGGTGGTTGATGCGCTTTCACCTCTCGGCTATGAATTACCACATATCTGGATGGTCACGTCACCAACTGATGAGGCAATACGTACGGCAAACGGTACAGACGCAATAACTGTTGCTTTGCTGACAGCTCTGAGCATGAAGAAATTTGACTACGTAGATGCTGCTTTTTGAAGCTCGCAATCGCACGTTTTGTGCCGATTTTCCTTGTCTAGAGTCTAGCGTGCGGTAAAATTGAGCCATTTGACACGCAATTGTGGTGGTATCTCATGATAACGATCCCAAGTAAAGAGCATGTTATGGGGCGCATACCTAAAAATAAAAACGATGTATGCTCCCTGAGCACTTAGTATCGGTGGTCCAACTAGTGTAAGTAAGTTAGCGCATAAGAGCGCACGTGTGAAGCGTGTCGACAAGTTGATCCTTCCTGTTCGCGTCGTCGCCCTCAGGCAGCCTGTAGGTTGGAAAATAATGATGGCAGACCAAAAGAATGAACATTGCTATTTTGATCTTCCAGCAGTCACGTCCCGTAATGTTAGCATTATGGTCTTTGAGTACCGTCTAATCGGGATGTATGATCTTCATGTGGTCATTGATAGCGTAACCAAAACGGTTAGAGACAAGCTGTGCCTCGACAAAGTGACCACCAACATGGCTTGCGGTGATCACTGAGATCGGCACATTACAGAGTTTGAGCAAATATATTGATATGTAAGGCACCTTATTGCACATGTACACCACATCCTATTCGCAGATAGATGATTTGCCGCACTGTGTTAATCTCGCGGTCGAGCATCGCCGTCAAATCACTTGCGCGGTGACTTTGTAGTGTTGAGTAAGATTGCTATAGCTTGTTGACTAACTATTGAAGGTATCGTACATATCTTCACAGGCTTGACCTAATTCCAATAAATGGTTAATTAACCTCCTTGTCCTTGATAACCGGCATAGAGTGGTGCGTTCTTGGAAAAGGGGCTGTTGATACCATCTGACTCGCTGAGATCAGCCAAGCTACACAGTGTAACAATTTTATCTCAGTGAGATTAAGCTCATGCACTATGTTCGTGACAATATGGCTTACAGCCAGGAGGCTGAATGCGCCGTAGAGAGACTTTTTAGTGTAAATAGGATTTTATCAATTGCATTAAATTACCCAACATACGAAATGTCTGTCGCCTTAATTCCTCAGTTGCGACCTCCACATCAGACGGCTTACTGTCGTGGCAAGTAGTATTTGACTTTCGCGCGGAACAGCTTGGCTTTTTATATACCGGTCACAGTATCGTGACAGCAGCAAGATGAGCAATCATTCACAGACGGTCGACAAATACCACAATAAGAGTTTTAACCGGAGGTGTATTTTGAAAGACCAGAAACGTCCATAATGATGATCTGCCAGCTCTCTGCCGGAATTGGATTACTGGCCAATTGTGCTGCAATGAGGCAAGAGTTGCGCTCGTTGACACGTATCGAATACATGCCTACCCACTTGTATAAGTAGCGATATCAATGCATATCGTTGGCCGAGCGATCCTCTGTCAGATGGCCACTTAAGGGGTCCAATTGCATTTTTACCCTGGCGTAATCATTGTGAGACACTAACAAACGCCAAGTCTCAATGGGTCGGTGATATATTTTCAGCATAGTTTGCACTGTGCATGTGCGAGCAGGTGGCAAAGAGTTTCGTTAGAATAAAGACATTCGCCAATCAATCTAAAATAGCCTTGGTCTTTGAAGGATCTACTCGCAGGCCCTGCAAACCGATAGAGCGACCTAAAAAGGGAATATTTTCGCCGCAAGAGGAAAACGTGCTTCTAATTGCAATAACCTATTTAAGGCATAAACTTAACTGCTGCTAGCAAGTGTAAAACGGGGTTACATTTACTTTTGTATGAAAGGGCGGATTGCACAAGATGGTGTGACCGTACATAGGTGTGTATTACACGAGTTGGTGCAATCACACAATGGTATGGCTACACCGTAACAAGTAGCCATTTTTATCATACACCTCTGTCTGAAATTTAAACACGTGGGGGACTTTCGTCACACCGTTTGATAGAACAAAAAAATATGATGCTGAGAATTTTTAAGAATATCTACTCCGCACTTGACTTGCGAGTGCCCCCAACGTCAGATTCATCCAGTTTGGATGACGAGCTCAGCTCCTCCTCTGAAACCAACTGTACCATTCGGCGACCTCAATATCTCGAAAAAATTTGCAAACACACTTGACAGTGAACTCTTCTAGCTCTGTCAAGGTTCTGTTGGGTTTGGTGAAGTTAAGAAGGGTGGATTATTTTTGTCACTATGTGACGGTACCACTGGGTCAGTGCAACCATATGACGGGCGAACTGACTGGAGCAGTGAAGCTTCACGGGTAAGTGGCGAGAAAGGTTATTTACTCATGAATAATACGACCGCGGCAGTCCTATGACGTTCAATCCCCCCTTTAGAACCAAGATTTTCTTCTTTCAGTCATCTTTCAACATTACAGGGCTGAAAAAAAATTGCGACACACAGTTTTATCGAATCTCCACCAGCCCTGGCCCAGGAGACAATAGCTCACTAATGTTCCATACCGTCGCACCAACCAAACACTCCGGATTAGTAGTATTTGACTGCACTTTACGTCTCATCTCGAGACCTTAGCTTGCTACCACTTCTGCCTTTGGAGATGTGCTGGAGACACCAAACAATAATTTTATTAAAAGTTATCCCACTACCGGATCCACATCAAAAGCGCTTCTTCTTCCTAGTTTATTAAGCTTATGAATCGTCAATCTTTCAGCAGGAAAAAGGTGCGCGGCGCTTAAGTTTGCTTTTCTTACACTCCACCCATGGCTGATGGCGTTCCAGCCACACCATTAGATCGTATCTCAATTTTAGGTCGCGGATTGATAACATCCTACGCTCCCAAACGCTTCAGGGTCACTTGAAAGCTTAGAATATACTTCGACACTTTTACCAGGTCTCCGTCGTATGATGTGCGGAAAACAATCCGTATTTGACACCTACACTACCTTTGTATACTGTCTGCTTGGTTTACCGGTTGTGCGACGTACATAATTACACGAATTCTTGAATCTATCAGAACTATTGCGGCTTCTCAATGCCCAAGACGTTAAAATTAGCAGCCATGGATGACGCCCTACCCCTTTGCAGAAGTTGTTCCTTTTCAACTAATCCCACTAATCACGACCACGGGGTACAAAAGAGCTCAGTTTTTTTCGGTAGCCTGCCCTATGTCTCCAAGAAGTCGTCGTTTTCTTGTAAAGTATTCGCCGTCCGCCTTTGCTTGTGAGCCCGACCTTTGGTACCTCTCAGCCAGCAGCGAAGTAGGCACGCAAGGCGGCGAAATGGGGTATATGGATAAGACGGAGCTTTACAGTCGCTAAAATCTTTCTCTATCTTTACCTAGATATGGCTAAGGTTCATCACCTCTGGAGCCAGAATAACTAACATCTTCAGCACCTTATTAAACAACTCGGAGCGGAAGATGTGCTCCGCGGCAAACGCGACACTCCTCGCTTCTTTAGAAACGATTGGGTGGACACGGAAGGTTTAGGTTTGAGCCTCTCCGTCTCGGAAACCGCCATGGATATAATCACTGTTATCCTGATTGTGCCGGTGGGCGTCTTCAGGCAAGCGATTACCACTCTGATCACTTTTGCCGTCTTGAAATTATCAGAAATCAAAGTTTGTAGGGAGGGGCACAGGTACTTAAAACCTCATGTCCTCGCAGAGAATACAATCTTTCCTCGTGGATTAGCTACAAGTGATTTTAAGTGCAATACAGCTACCCCACACTTTGGCATTCAGAGACTGCGATAACAAATGCACAGAAGATGGATTCGTGGGTCCTACCAGGAGCGGAACCGAGAGCCCCTAAGATATGTTAACTTGCGCCATAACCGGAACCGCGATTACCACTGTGAGACCGCATATATATGTCCTCCAGCCTTTCAAGGCCAGGATGAGGGAACTTGGGGTGGCTTTTGCGCTTGCGGTCACCAAGCTAGGAGAACGCGCGCAAAAATGAGCACCTAAGTGCAATACCTCTGACGGGTTACATGAGAGTGACCCGTCACTCTCCCAAGGGAGCTGTGGTGTGGCATACACCACAGTTACTAGATGGGTACATGGCTTGAGAGTCATGTAATACTCTCCCAAGGGAGCTGTGGTGTGGCATACACCACAACTACTAGATGGGTACATGGCTGGAGAGCCATGTAATAGGAAAACATTAAGGAACACCTATAAATATATTCAGTCTTAAAACTACCTAAGTTTGGGTTAACGTTCCTGTGACCAAGGATCTGTGATCTGCTGTTCACTTAGAGTTTGTATACTCTTGGAAGTCAAGCTTCCTCTGTGCAAGGTGCCGTGTGCCCCGTCACAACCTCGGAAATGATGTGCCCCCAACGCTAGACTATTCAAAGCGATAGATGTCGTGGGTGTTCGCGCCGCCAATTTGGGCATATCGGGTGCGTTTGAATTTCGTCAACATGCGCGAGCACTGTTGAAAAGTTAAGAGATGTATTACCGCAATTGTGTCAAGGTGGTAGTCCCCGCCATTTCAAGAGGATATATGTGGAATGAATAATATTTTGACAAATACTAAATATTGGTATACAATTTCTCATAAGAAATTGTCCTTCTTTTTAAATGTGGCTTCATGATTCTGATACACATGAAAACTAACTTTTACACCAAGTCTAATGCAGATTTGCTCAGTTACACTGACGGACAATAGTTTGATGATTGGCAAAACAATGATAGGGTCCAATAACACCTTCCGCAACCGTTGTTGTGCGCTCATATAAAGGAAGTGACTCTACTTCTTCCTGTTCTAAAATCTTCTTGGAAAGGAAAACAGTTCCTAAATTTATTTGTATTCGAGATTTGATTTTAGAGGTATTTGGAATGAGACGTCATACATTAAAAACACCTTAAAGCACTTCTTGGCCTCAACAAAACAATTGTAGCGCTATTTAGTTAGTTGTTCGGATGACCCGAAACGTCAGACATATTGCCTGAGCTAGAAGGTGCACTATTTTGAATCGATGTCATACTTTGGTGGGGCATCTGCAAGTTGTGCTGAAGCATGCTCTGCTGGCTAGCCGCCAGGTTCTGATGTGACATTGCCATACTTTGCTGCGGCATCGTCATACTTTGCTGTGGCATAGTCAAGCTCTGTTGCGCCATTGCAATGCTTTGATGAGGCTGCTGTTGCATACCCTGTTGATTCATACTCTGCTGAGGTATTCCTTGCGTCGCCGAGTTCATGCGCTGCATCTGCGTAGATGACATCATGTTATAGCCTTGGGGAGCCATTTGAAAGCCTATGTTGGGCGCCATGACGCTTCGACTGTCTGTATAACTACTAGAAACTGGCATCGCATTACTCATGCGGACTCCATGAGGTATTGGTCCGTTGCCCGAAACGCCGTAAGGGATGCCACCGTTAGCAAACCGCTGCTGCTGCTGCTGAACCATCGTATTCATCTGTGCATATTGCTGAGCCATCATTGGATTCATTCGTGCTTGATACTGCGCCTGGGCATACGCCTGAGCCTGAGCTTGAGCCTGGGCTTGGAGGCGTGCTTGAGCTTGAGCTTGAGCTTGTGCCTGAGCTTGTGCCCTCGCCTGCGCTTGAGCCTGAGCTTGGAACTGAGCCTGATTGCCGATTGGCATCTGCATCATTCCTGCCCGAGAATATTGTTGCTGCTGATCAACTTGAGGCTGCACGTAAGCCTGAGGCTGTCGTGGGGACGTATCCGAAGACTCATCTGCCCACTTGGCAAGCGTCATGAGATTCTTATTCAGATTCTTGCGCTTCTTATCCAACTTCTCGGTTAATTCTCCAAGCTGTGATGTTCCTTTGCCGTGCTTGATCTGTGTGTTAAGTTCGATGATTTCTACAATGAGACTCGAGTTTTCATCGAGCATGGCCTACAATCATCAGCCTTGTAAACGAGTGCAAAACCAGCAATTGAATAGGGTGGTGCACCTGGATCTGCTCAGTGCTAATCTGCTTGGGCTCCTGAGGCTGCTGCTGTGGCTGCTGAAACTGCTGCGGCACCACGTAAGCCCGATTCATGGCCATTTGCGGTGCGGTCGTCGCCATGTCCATTATTGTGTTTTATTAATATTTGTTGTCTGGACTATACAGCACAATTACAATCTCTGATTGGCTGGAAACATGCAAAGTGCAAAATTTCCAAATAGACAAAATGAGCGGCATGCGACGATTCCTTAAACTTAACCTGGCCGAGGCCGAAGCTGCTATGAAGCCACGTTTATTAGAAGGCAAGTGGAAACAGCCAATGATATCCGGCCGTAAAATTGCCATGGTGAAGAAACATGCGATGCGCAACGGTCTTGTAGGCACGTGGGAGGAGGGTAAAGGGGGTTGGCTCGAGACTTGGGACCGACCCCAGAAGCACCATGTGATGCGGCCTCTGAAGGGTCATAAGAATCAACGCAACGAGTTTGAGCGGTTAGTGTACCGCAATATCGAATTACTATTTAATTCCTGCTCTCAGAGGTCTTACTTCTGACCTGTTCCTTGTTCACTGATATAGCGTCAAAAAGGTGCAGGCGGCAATGGAAGCCATGCCCATCAAAATTGCAGACCATAAGAAGGCGGTTAAGCAGGCCAAACCGCTGAAGGGATTAGACAAGTGGCTTACTGAAAAGGACCCGTACTGAATGAAGAGCTATTCCTTGAGGCAGAATACAACTTGTAATGAATCATACTATCAATTTGCTCAAAACTATTGTTTTTAAGAGTCAGGGCGGGTAATTTCGGCTAAAAAAAGTCGCGACGACTGAAGACCGGTAGTTCTATCATTACATCAGAATCAATCCGCTAAGCATGTACTCGAACAAGAACATACTGATTACAGCAAGAGATTTTTGACCTGAAATTAGGCTTTGATGTGAACCTTCTCCGCATGTTTAGTTGCTTCAGAGCAGAAAACACGCAATAATCAAAATATGGGCATTTTGAAGCAGGGTCAAAGCATGAAGAGCAATGTCGTTCCTCTTAGCGACGATGGAAGCAACAGCCGTTATCAAAACAAAATCAATCTGTCGTGTCCAGGATCAAGAGGTGTATCGTTTACGACCGCCAGAGGCAAAATTTGGTGAGCTTCGTTTCTTCTCAAGATGTGTGAGTAATGGAAGATGATCTTGTGTGACACGGACAGGCTGATCTTAGTCATCAATTTATCAATCATCATCATGTTTATTTTCGTGAGCTCCTCCTGCTTGTTGTTTTTGAATAGAGACATTGTAGTCAATTACTCACAAGAGCAAGAGAAGCAGCCTGTGACTCCGACAAATAAGCTTGATAAAAAGAGAATCGCACAAGTGGTGGAAAACGTATCGAAAGCAATGAAATTTCGTAAAAAGCGTGCCATATCGTATATGATAGGCTACACAAATCTTGTAAGTACCGGCGATTCTGATGCAACAGCTACCGAACATATTTTCACAGGTGCGCCTGAAGGATCTGGTAGTCGTCATAAAGAGGCAAAAGTGGTCGTTAGTGAAGGAAAGGTGTCCGCGCAGGCAATCGCTGACGAAGATACACCAGTCAGTCCTTTGCTGGACCCCATTAATCCATCAACCAGTCAGCCATGACTGCATAAAGCAGTTAAACAGTGCAATTAATTAACACACATGATTATTGTGGTAAGGCTTACTATGTGATTTGGGCCTCGGATGTAGCCTTTTAAAGGGGTCGCAACATATCCTTGAGGCAGTTTAGACCCCTATCAGTGTTCGTTTGTTTGTCTTTATCAAAATAAGACCACTTGTTGCCAGAAGGCGTCGCTTGTAAGTGCTGGATTGACATTTCACGATGCCCTGGACAAATATGCCGATACATATTGGGCCACAAAAAAGATAATCTTCACTTTGAATTTCTTTTTCTTCATCTACGACAAACGAATCATGTGGATGACTTTAATAGATTAAGTTATGTTGTTCCATGCGAGCAATGACGTTTTCGATTAAGTGATTGACAACCCACCCATGAAAACGATGACCAACGCATTGCAAGCAAATAGAACGAGTGTTGTTTGAGTAAAACTACGATATTTGCTGAAGCCGGATAGCTGGTGTTCACAGTCTGCTAACCACTGCTAACTTTGTAGAGTCTTCTTCCGTCTGAGAATCCTGTTAGAAATCCACCACTTGCAGTCTTAGTATTACGAATAAAGGCATATTCTCTAGTTTTTACAGTCCACAAACCTGCAGGCCATGACGGCGACTAATAACACCAATTAACAATTGCAGTATAGACAGCTGCAAAAAGCTCGAAATAAGCACATTGGTTAATGTTATCGATGAAGACGCATTTAGTAAACAAATACCAGGAGCATTAAATTGTGTTTCTGGGTAATCTTAACCGAAACCAAAAAAGGAATTAAGTTGTAAAGTCAACAAATTTGGCGGGAAGTGATCTGCACAATGGCGTCTCAAGGCCTATCTTTATGGCTCACTGGCAAGTCTGAGGCCTTGGACGCTAATGATCCTAGAGTATTTCAAAATCAGGTGGAGGACACAGGAAAGCCTAATTCAAGCGAGTCCCCACTTGAATTACCCATTGATCGAATAGGGGTCAAGGAGACCATCACGCTTATCAGTCCTGAGAAGTGTTTAGTCGTCGAGGAGATTGATAGCGAGGAAGACGATGCAGAGTTTGATGATCGAGCACACTGGACTAGACGAGGATCAAGAAAAAAAGCAAGGGCTATGCGTCGAGCTGCTGGAGCCGAGGAAAAATCTCAGCCGTCCATTGCGCTCTTTTGCGTCAAGAATGCGACTTCTACGAAGGAAGTTTTGGGGGCGGAATTAAAGAAGGCTGCATTAAATGATGTTGTAAAGCCAGCAAAAGTGGTACAGCTTGACAAAACAAACCACACAAAGTGTGAGAAGATGGAGAAGCCGAAAAACGATGGACTCGAGTGGGACTCTGCCGATACGCCCACCAAAAATGGAACTGCTACTTTTATGAGTTCGGGTCGGCCAAAACGTGAATCTGTTCTACGAGCAGAGATTTTGCAGCAGCAGCAAAAGCTTTTGGATGCTGTGGCTGCAAAAAACAATGCTGTGTCTTTTTTAACTCCCCCACCGTCGACAAAAAAATCATCCACACAAAAGGCAACAACTAGTGGACGTAAGAGGAAGCTGGAATTGAATAAAAAGAAAGCGTCTCCGACCTTGAAGAATGGGAGCACGGTGAGCCCACCAAGTACTAGCAACGCGTCGCAATCATTCTTTTTGAGTGAGCTGGAAAAGAAACAGCTTCAGGAAATTGAAACTGTGTCAATTTTTCGTGAACAACTTCGACAGACGCGTGAGAAGGACCTTGCTTTTTTTGCCGGTAAACCAGCGAATCCATTCTTTCAAGCGCGCTCTTGTTGCATACGCAGTGGTGGTGAAGAATCTGATGATGAAAACGTTAGAGATAGTGATGTTAGCAAAATAGTACAGCATATTGGAGCTCGCTGGAGTAAGCCATTACCGTTGTTTCCCGATGTACAACACGTATTATATTCATGCATGGACGAAAAAGACTTAGATACAGCTACTCAAAACTGGATATCATTGATACGGCGCGTGACATCACCAGATAAAAGTTCTAAGACGGTAGTAATCCATCAAGCCAATTCGGGAGTAGACAGTAAGCTGTCAATTGAAAGTATGGCCCATCTCAGAGCTGCCATGAATGGACAAGTCTGTACCGAATCTTCATTTTCCGAACAGTTTTGGTTTAGAGAGTTTTTAAATTCATCTACCTTCCCGGGTGTTGAGATCATCGATATTACCTCTCCATGTTTATCAAATAGTGAAATGGCTGCAACAGAACTGGCAGCAAGAGAGACTCTGCTCGTGGACGAGTTGGTTGAAGCGCATGATATTCAAGAGATTCAAATACGTGAACTTCTGTCAGGTCTAGAGCAAGCAAGGATAAAGCGTACAAGCCGAAAGCAAAATTTGTCGTTAGTAGATCGGTACTTACCAGTGAATGCTAATGGCCTTGTTGGCAATCGTGAGACACTTCACACACTTTCATCGTGGCTAAGCGCGTGGAAAATTGGTGGTGGCGATCGTAAGAGACTTGATTGCTTCGCATCGGAGCTATTTACCTTCGAAGATGGTGATAGCGACAGCGAGGATGAGGTTGGTGATTTGTGCCGTTTATTTATTTTACAAGGCGAGTCAGGATCGGGTAAATCTGCCGCTGTTTACGCATGTGCCGAAGAACTTGGCTATGAGATCATCGAGATCAACGCGGCTCAGAATCGTTCTGGAAAAAATATCGTCGAACTCTGTGGTGAAGCTACACAATCGACTCGCGTGCTGCACATTGGGGGAAAATATGATAAGAGCAAAAAGACGCAAAAGAAGAAACGCAGGATACAATCTGAGGGCCGCAAAAGTTTAGACAAGCCTACAGCTGCATCCTTATCACTGGTGCTTTTTGAGGATGTAGATCTGGTTTTTGATGATGATAAGGGTTTTCTTTGTGCCATATGCTCTATTGCGAAGCACTCGAAGTGTCCGATTGTCGTAACATGTGCGCAATTACCCGATGCATTTCCTACAAAACCTGGACGGCTATGCCGCGAACTCTGCAAACCTACGATGGACGAGTTTTCAATTTGGATGCGTCTTGTGACCTTTATCGAAGGAATGCAAGTGGCACCGTCTTTAATTGACGCTCTCGCCAAGTTTTTTGGGCGAGATGTCCGGCGATCACTGCATTTTCTAGAAGCTAGTCTACCAGTCTCGAATACAAGCTTAAAAACCCATTGGCGATGGCAGCATGTTACTGACGATGAAAGCGATGATGATAAATATTGTCACGTTGTTGTTCCTGCTTGGACTGTCTGGTCCACAGGTGATTTATCTTTTGATGCTCTTACAAGTAACTTGTTGTCGGAGCTTAGTGCAGCTTATGGAAAACCATTAGAGGATAAAGGCTACGAAGAGAGGCGGGCGGACCTTGAAGCAATGTCGGAATTGGCAGAAATAATGGATTCTACTTCCGTTGCGGATACTTGGATGTCGCCCGCTGCAAGTTGGAACAGGGGCGAAATCGAGGTGCGGTGTTTTGTGATCTCACCACCAACACAATTTTATTTTGGATCGTTTCCATGCACAGAAATCATATTTTCAATTTGAACGTGAACGACTTGCGGCCTTAGAGCTACGACGTTTAAGTCTTTACGTGCTAGGAACCTCGGTGAGCACTTTAAGTTCGTCTTTGACACATCGTCAAGAACCTTCAGCGTCAGCGTGTATTCAGCGCACGTTAGACAACACTCTTAAAGCGACACAACGGCACCACCATCAAGCAGCTTTGGCGCAGCTAAAGCCAAAATTCGAATTGCCGCTAGCATTTAAAGGGTAAGTTTCCCTTGAAACGCTGCTATGTGTCGTACTTTGTCGATTAACCACATTGTTTGCTGTAGCTGCGGAAAGTCAGAGCCGCGATTTACACTTGACTATATGCCAATGGTGGGACGTTTACTGTCTAGCACCGGTTTGCAAGAAGGTCGCCGACGAGCATCTCGGCGCAATCACTACTTAAGCGATGTATTGAACGATATGGCTCTTATCGACGAGCTACCGGCGTTTAATACATACTTATTGCTCGACGGAGACAGTTTTGTCGCCGTATCTTCAGCGCACAATCAGCGACAAAAAGAAGTGTAACTTTGTACTCATTGAGCTCTTCCATTTACGCTGTTTCCATAGACCTGCCAGTCATTCTATCTATTCTGCAGTCTTTTTAACTTTGGTCATCACTCGCTTTTTCCTAGCAGCATCCTTAACGTCTATCGTAGACTTGACAATCTGGTTTAAAGTGCTGTGGAAAGCACCATGATTCACAGCTGTCACCTGTAACAAAATCCACTCAATCAATTGATGTGATTTATCAGAAAAAGGTGCCGTACATACCACCGTGCTATATTTTTTCTTATGCTTGTTGTTGCCATATTTACATGCGCGGAACAGCAACACGTTCTCTCCGTCTTCCACCGTAAGCTTAAGTATTTTCTGCTGTGCTTTGTTATTCACCTTAGCCACAGGCACTGGATCAAACACTTCCGTCAAGTTTCACGTCCTAAAACAAAAGCTATCGATGCATTCTCACCACTTTTGCAGGTGATCGTTACCGAGCCCTTAATGGTTTGTGTTTCTGTGTAGAATTCCAACACCTTGGCTAGGAACGTGTCTGTACTCACCAACATTATTCTAATTTGATTATATCGTAAGAGTAGAAAATGATATCGTATTTGAAAAGAAAGGTACGATCTTTCAGACACGCTTGCTACGAGTATTACTTTGGAGAGTCACTTACTAGTTCCCTACTCAACTAACGCAATATCTACCATATCGCCTGGATGAAAACGCACACTTGCAAGCGTCTTGGTGTCGTCAACACATCGGCGACGACTGCTGTTGACGTAGCCGACTTTTCGTACGAGCACTCTAATGCAACGATTGATTAAAGCCAAGCAGCTGACAAGTAAAACAAAAGAATAGACTACCTTCCGTCTTTTGTCTCCGACACGGCACAGATACTCATTCGCATATTTGGCATTCGAGCGTCAGCGTTTGAGTCTTGCACCAGGTCAGCGATCTCCCGCAACGTCGCATCTGGCCTGCTCAGTATCAGCAAAAGCATGTTTTCCGCGTGGTGCGTCCAGATTGAAGGCTTTTAGTAGCTTACCACGTGTAAATGTGCAGCTCGTTGGCGATGGGCTTGTTGTCCAGCTCTTCAAACGCTTCTGCTCTACATTTAACGAACAAGAGCGCATATTATGTCAAGCATAAATTGCGCTCCTACAAACGCAAAAGACTAAAAACTTTGCACCTGTTGTGGGCACCTTTGCTAAAGAAAACTCGAAGTAGAAAAGGACAGTGCTTCTCGCGGTCGATAGCGCGCTCCTCCGGCATTTCAAAGTTGCAAGCCTTTATTAGGAATTGTTTATTTTACTATCAAATATTTAAGGACCAAGGAATTTCTTCATCCAATTAAATTTACTGTTTTCTATGCACAAGGGGTATGTAAATTTAGAGGTGCATATGGTGCATATATATGGTCATAGTCTAAGATACTTCGAAGTAGAACTTTCCTGTTACGAGTTACACGTACCCTGGTAACAAAGGTGTGTGTCACAAACAAGAGGCATGCATGTATTTAGGTTTTACTATATAAATTAGTATATTTAAGAAAATCTAAACTTTTAAAATTAGGATAAAAAAATAAATCAGTTTTATATATCAAACGGAAGAGCTAATTAGCCTG